GGTTTTATAATCTCTACAGCGTCTGTGCATTAACCGGAGCTTGCATTACGTACCAGGAAAAGGTCCGTAACTTAAATAATCTTAACGTATCGTTAATGATGAGATATTTTTTTAATTGAACAGAGTTAAATATTGGAATGATAACAGACACAATTATTCGTAAGATAATATGTCTATTGCGGGTTAACGGCCCTCAATTGAAACCCCGCAAGCGCTATTAAGACCAGAGTTGCATAATGACTGTCGCTGTTGTCTTGATTGTGCATTTCAAAATATATTACAAAATACGCTTTTATAATATTTATTGATTTGTGGTTCCCAAAATGTTAAATTTTATTGGCATACTGAAAAGTATCCATGAAGCAAAGATTGCTTTCAGTTTTGCGTTACGTATGTTAGTACGAAGTAGTAGGACTCTATTATTGACTATCAGTTTGTTTGGGTTGGTACTACTATGTAAGAAAGTTAGCATAATCATTAATCATTTTCCATCTGATCCTCGGGGGTTAGCAACGTATTCCTTCCTAAATAAAAGAAGACCAACATCTTTGTTGGAAAAAGGTTCTCGAGTGGCAGGATCGTACCTACCGAAAGGCGAAGTGTATGGCGACCCTTCATTAGATGGAGTGACGACCTGGTATGAAATGCAGGAAGTCGACGAATGCAGGTGGTTCAGGACCGTTCTATGTGGCATTCCTTGGGGGAGGCCTATGTTCAGCAGTAGACATCTTTGTTTGAAACATAGATTGGTTGTGGTCCGTGGGCTCAATAAACATCCACTAACAATAAAGTCGCACTCGTTTGTCATTCTAATATTAAAAAAAATGTAAGTTGTGTTTGATCTATAGGTTTTTTTTTATATCTTCATAATGGTGTCAATTATTTTGGGAAATAATAACTTTAAATGGTATGTTAACAAAATTAAGTACATATAAAACGTCTCAGTTCGCATTGGAGCTGCAAGGCGGGCACTCCCCGGCTCCATTCTACACCTCTCTCAAAAATGAAAGGGAGACCTGTATTTCGCAGTGGGACTTTTATTGGTTATAACTTTATAATTAACATAATAAGTGCAAACAAACTATTTACAATCAAATTTAATAGCTGCGTAAATTTAATACTAAATTATAATATTAAACAGTTGCTAATTGATTATTTATATTTAGAAATTACATATTTTATATTTAGAAGTGTTTGATGCAGATGATTGGTTTTTTTTATAGAATACGGGTGACAAACCAGCACACAGTCGGCCTGATGGTAAGTGGATGGTGTGGCCCATAGACATCTACATTAATCCTTGATTAAGAATCAAAATGCAGATGAGTTGTCACTTCTGAGGAATGCCTCGTTTCCAGTAAAAAAAGTTTCCGATTCTCTACACTCGCCATATGAAACACAGCAGCATTTAGCTGCTATTTTACGCTGGTATTTTGTGAGTTTTCCAACCCCGGTCGAGGCGACTAATACGTGCTACAAACATAATATAGCTGCAGCGTAAATACCACTTAAAAAAAGCGTAAGGTTATAAAAAGCAGTACAGACGAGAAGTTAAAATTCGAATTTTTGACTTTTAGTGTTAGAGGGTGAGACCCTTTCTAACGAATGTTGTTTTAAATTCTAATGTCGTTGTCAGCTGTAACTACTAAACCCATAGTACCTACATATTATGTATAACTTATGTATCACCGTATTATATGTAACAAACATTAAATTTCTTCATGCCGAACGGAACTAAGCTAACGCAGCTAAGGTGCTTAGGGGTGACAAAAGTCATTTTGATACTTGATCGAAGATAGACATAGGTTCCTATGGGTCATCCAGTTACCATTAAGTGGACTGTGAGCTTGTTTATCATTCTTATTTCAAATTGTACGTAAGGGAAACATGGCTGGATCGTCACGATTTTTAGCCTGCATCGTTCCGCACACCACCCGTCCCGTCATCCCGTCCTTGTTCCCATTGCGTATGCTTGATCGCATTGCCCTAATGCGAAGCAGTGTTGTCTCTCACGGGTTTCTAAAAATACATATTATGTGCACATTTCCTTAATTATAGTAAACCTATCAGGTTTCAACCAGGTTTTGTGGAGTAGGCTGCTTGTAGTCTACGCTTGACTAATTAATTAGCAGCAGCTAATATATATGTAAACAACATTTAGCCGCACTACCAGTTGCTTGCGTGTCGTATTAGCGGATATATATATATTTTTTGGCATTCATCACAGAGATTGTAGAGGCATCTATAATGTTCAGCAATGGACTTGTGAAGGGCAGTAGTGATGATGATGATGATGATGATAACGATGATATTGAATAAAAATTATTCTATTCTATTCTTCTCAGTTTTATCGCAAACTTCCTTAGCATGCGACTTTACCTTCCCATTTTTATCTATATGTGAAATCGTTTTATTGGTTGCTTTTTATTTACAAGTGATTGTAAATAACTGTAAGTTTTTATAAAAGCATAAACTATGGAATGGTATAAGTAATGGTAATAAAACTTAAAAATATTCCGAATGAGGAGAGGGGAATTCTCTTTTTCTTTTTTTATCACGTAAGGTGTAAGTGCATGCTTGGCTTAGTTCATTAGACATATATGTATATTGTCTAATTACTTTAACCTTTAAGTATCGACGTGCATTCTTTGTAACGTTAGTACCGACGTGAGGCCTGAGAGGCCGCGTATATTATGTAGTGTTTTTTTTTTAAAGAAAGTGATGATTTAAATATCCGTCTTTGCATTATGATAAAAAGTAAAGGGTTTTAAGTAAAAATAAGTATAAAATTGAATTCAACTTTATTAATTTTTTCAATTTTAGACTACAATAATATTTGGTTTGAATTTTGGGGAAAAATTCGACTGTTAGATATAAAAAAACAAAACACGAAGTATAATCTTCTCATAATAACAAAAAAATAGTATTTTTTACTTATGACTTATATAACTTTTATAAAAAAAAAATAAAGTAGGAACATAAACTTTCTAGAAAAAAAAATGACCACAGTCCAACTACACCTTAAAATCTAAGCTCAGGCAAGGCACACTTGTTTCGCCCACTGTAAAGAAACGTGTTTTTGGCACGAATAGCATCGATATATCGATTTTCTAGTCAGTTCAGGTTGACATGAGCGACAAGTCTTTCATGTCTTGATTTCCTCAGCTTCATCTTCAGATGTCTCTGGCTTATCAGAACCAAGTACTTTTTCCAAACTCATTCTTAGTTCATGGGGTTCAGATCTCTTTGATTGCTGTAAATCTATCGCAGAACTATTTCTTTTACAACTTGAAATCTCTAGTATATTCATAATTCACAATATCTGTAAGAATAACAGTTTACCTTAACAAAAAATAAAACAAAACAGTTATGTAAGTACCGACGTGCGGCCTGAGAGGCCGCGTCGGAATTTTAAATCGTAATTACTCACCAAATGCGCGTGCGACGTCATCACTTCCTGCTCCGACGTTATCGTGAGCACTTTTCTTGCAGCTACTTAAAAGCGGGGATCGGTATTACGCGGGGAAAGGGGTAAACTAGCAAGTCAAGTGCCTGCCGGGGCCTCACAGACCGCACGTCGGTACTTAAAGGTTAAGTCACGTGGCACTAATCTTTCATCTACCCTCAACCTGGTCATCTTCTAATGCCGAATTTACTTAAACCATTTTGAGGCTGCTAGGAAATGCTAGGCTCGGACCTTTACTCCCTTTTTATTTGCTTAATCATGATCATGTCAGTCGGTCGCATGTGTACGCGACTAAGGCCACAAGTAGTTGCTTCCTTAGCCTTTAGAATTTCTGGTCTTAACTATAAGGCGATCGCAATCATTACTGGTGGAATAAGTAACATACATACATAAATTCTCACGCCTGTTATCCAGAGGTGTAGGCAGAAAATACGGACTTCCATTAAGCAGGATACTGGCCACACCCCTCGTGTTTCTTTCACATCCATATACCTACGCATAGATGCTCGTCGGTTAAATGTTGCCCGTCTTCAATATAGATATATTCAGTACAGCCCTTCACAAGTCCCCTGCTGAACATAGGCCTCCCCCAAGGAATGCCACAAAACACGGTACTAAGCCGCCTGCATCCATCGACTTCCTACATGTCTTATCAGGTCGTCACTCCATCTAGTGGGGGGACGCCATACACTTCGTCTTTTCACACTTTCACACGTCGTTTTTGTTAATTATTAATATAGATATATTAATAATTAAAAAAAACATAATTTAACATAAATTAGTATGTGGTTATGTAATATAGCATCGTGTAACAACAATACGGTTTTTGCTCGTCACCGCCACTGTCACGGCATATGAGAGTTAAGACCATGTTCTTGAAATACGAGGCACGTCACGTTCCCGTCCGATGTTTTATTCCGTTGCTTGAGATATGATCATAGGTTAAAATAAATCGCTGTGAATATCATAATAATTTATTTCTATTTTCCATTGTAATATTCGCATGTTTTTTTTTTAAAGAATAGGGTGTCAAACGAGCACTCAGTCCACCTGATGGTAAGTGGATGCTGTGACCCACAGAAACCTACATTTAATCTCAATTAGGAATCAAAATGTAGATGCGTATGGTCACCCCTGAGGACTAATATGGAAGGCCTCGTTTCCAGTAAAAAGGGACTCCGGTTCTCTACGTTTACCATACGAAATATATCAGCCTTAAGCTGCTATTACCGCTAGTATTCTGTGAGAACGATATCCTTCCCCGTTTGAGTCGATACATTCGTGCTAAAACCATAATATAGGTGCAGCGTGGCTCTTCCACTCATAGAACAGGATTATCACATAATGTACTTTTTTCATCTTCATTTATTTAACTTTTAACTTGTTCAGCAGAGGACTTTTAATAGACTGTGATGGTAATCGAACATTTATACGCTCGCAGCTAGAACAAAATAAAACTGCTGCGGCGATATGCCTTTTGTGGTTTGTATGTTCCTTTCCGTTTTATGTAATATCTGTATTCTTTTGTCTGCAGCGATTACCATCGGTATCAGAGTGATCGGACCGGCGTTAGGCTTCTTGCTGGGAGCGCTCTGCACAAGGGTCTACGTGGATCCTCTGTCTGATCCCGGCTACGATAATACCGATCTACGATGGGTCGGCGCTTGGTGGCTTGGTGAGTACTATCTTTCCTTTATTTCAAAATACTCGTAGTTTTTTTTAAAAGATTTTGTCGATGATTCGAGTAAACAGGGATAGGGAAATTAATTTTTCCCAAAAAGATATTAAACAAAACACATCAGTTACATTAGGGATTTAAAATTAGTTTTTAACTTTTAAAATAGACTGATTTTATAAATAGAATCGATGCATAAAAAGTAAAGAGTAAAGTTACAGCCTATATACATCCCACTGGGCACAAGCCTCCTCTCAATTTTGAGAGGGTTTTGTAGGACAAGGAACTGTCCACCGCGCTATTTTAATGCCTCTTGGCGAAGTTCACATGTCTTCGAAATATTTTTTTTTCTTATTTCACGGGCATGCAGGTTTCTTCATGGTGTTTTCCTTCACCGTCGAGCACGTGGTAAATCAGCACTTGAAATTGCAAATAACAATTTAATAAATATAATTACAACATTGTAATATCTTCTAAGAAATAGATTTTTGATTATAAAGTAAATTGATGTGTATGTACTATAATTATATTAAACAAATTTTATAATAAGAGATTTTATTAAAATTGATCTAATACTCTGTTAAAAAGTAATATCAAAGTGTATAAATAAAAACAGTGCGTGTCGATATTGCAGAGTCACTGCTTTGCGTCATTCCTAAAACAAATTTGTAATTTTAAGTTAAATTAGTTTTATTGAAATAGAAATATAAACCTTGAGTCAGGTTTTGCTACCTTTCAAATATTCCACCTGTAACTAATTATATAATAATTCCATATCTCTTTATAAGTTTGTCTTTACATCGAATTACTTTTAAGCATTGTTAATAATTTAATTTATGTTTGCGACAGTTGTCGCTCTTGCTGAAACTGCAGTTTCATTTTTGTAATTTGGATGAACAGTTGTACTTGATTCAAATTATTCAAAATATAATTTGCTACTAGCGGGCTATGTATGTCTATTTGTCGTAGGCTAGTGTAGGCCAGTGTATTCAAAACTGAATTAACATCTTTCCTTCTTCCTAATATACTTCATTCCGCTCAAATTTATCGAGATCGTCGCACAGAAATACTGGTACTAAAGCTTCGTTTTTGTGAAGTGTAATTTAATGAACAAGTAACAAGAACAAAACAATATACGAAATGTAAACCCGACAAGTTTATAGACACTTAAGTTTATATGGCTTTATGGTTGTAAACAATGTAGGTACATACAAAGCAGTGACGTTGTGCTTACACGTAAGTTTCTTTTATTTCAGTATAAATTAGAGTAGATAGACATTATAGTTACAGATAATGTTTTTCCATAATTTCGCTGTTCGATTTAACAATTTATACATAAAAATTTTCATTGCTGTCTGAACCTCGCTTACAAAGATTTCAAAATTACTATTACAACATCTAAAAGGCCGGCAACCCACATGCAGATTTTCTGGTGTTGAAGATGGGATCACATACCATCAAGTGAGCCGAGTGCTCGTTTGCCCATCTTCTGTAAAAAAAAACCATGTTGGTTCAATAATCATGATAGTCGTAACCACGAAGCAAACTGTGGTCTATTGCTGACAAGTAACAATTTCATAAAACAGAATGTTGTACAATGTTATTGAAAACTTCACAAGGATAATTTAGCGGCCTCGCACCACGTTATTATGTGTGACCGCGGGCACAGGGCTTCAGTTCCACGGCATTCCATCGCGGAACTGCCATCTACCGTTACGGAGCCGTTCGCCCCAATGGATTTGCGCGCGAAATTCGCGAAGAAAGCACGCACGTGAGCTAAGTGTCAATCGAATGCGTGTGGCATGTCCACGAAGCGAAATTTGCATCTTAACAATTACAATGAGTTCTCTAATACCTTTTGGCCATGGTCCAAAATCCCATGGTATTGCTATTCAAATGCCTGGAGTAGCAAACTGTCAAGCGTGCTCCGACTGACAATAAAGCATTCGCAAACATATTGAATGGTTTCCGTGTATTTTATCATTGTTGAAGAGTAAGTGCGTACCAAAGAAAATGAATGGAGTAATAAATTTTAATAGGTTCTCTAACGGCCCTTCTTTCCTTTATATTGTAAAATGAGTTCTCAAACTCGAAAATGACTTTTGTAAATAATTAATTGATTGCCCAACCCCGGGTTTTTCTTAGTATAACTTTTGGGAAAATTTAGCGCTGGGTTCTTTGCTGGTTCTTTCCAGGACGGAGTTTTTGTCCGAACCAATGGTACAAATTAAAAAAATACTCTCAAGAAGAGTTATTTACAATCTATATTGAATTAAACATTCTATTCTATTTTATACTTTTCTTTTTTTTATTTATTTTCTTCCAATTATACAATAAACGTTTTTAACATTTTCATCTGCCAAACTGCATTACAGTTTGTCGGCAGTAGTTCTCGTCTTACATGCTTATGTTTATACATATAATCTGAAGTATAATTTCTTATACATATACTACTCGTAATATCTCCCAACATCTATTTTATTATTTTATTTATACATATTTAGTACAAAGTTTGTTATGAGGTCCACATCAACCAAATAATAAAATTTGTTCATTATTTTTTGAATTGTTTTTTTATACATCTCTCCATTCTGTTCTCATCTTGTCCATTCTGTTCTATTTTAATCTATACGGTATTTTATACCCTATTTTATAATAGGTTTCTTCGCAATCAAATTAGCATTCAGTTCTGTTCAGTGCGTTTGTTTATCTTTATAGGTATAGTTTTAGGAAATATTCGATTTTATTACTTGCTTCAGAATTTGTTGTGTACGTATAAGAAAATATTAAATTGTAATAAGTATACATCGTCATATCATATATTAAAGAAATAAAATGCAAACGGGATACTACACGATACGTTCTATTAGTATTAGTCTCATGACCACTCGGCAGATTTTGTAATAGTAAATTGATAGCTTATGTTGAGCAAATAGAACATGCCGCAATACATCCCAAGTGTTTCCAACGTTCTCTATCCAAACTCCGTAGGATTGTACAGTTTTTGATTTTGTTATTTACTTGAGAATTATCAAAAAGCTAAAAATTCTCAGCTATCGTAGATTGAAGATATGATACGTTAGTGCAACTACTTGGTACAATCTTTTATAGTATTGATAGTATCGATTCGATCGTTTCACAGTGACTGGGCATATTGCGCAATAGAAAATCGAATTAGTGTACACAACTATTGAGCAAATAGATCTACTTTCGCAATATGTAAATCAATCTCGGGTATTTCTTGCATTTACTGTCCATCCAGATCGATAACATTGTAATTACCTACCTCTCCGCTGGGTAATACTTTGGTAGAACAACGTTGTACATTAACGATCATTTATCTGCATGTATTGGACGCGTATGTGTTTATTTCAATTATTTTATGTGTCTCTATAATCATTATGATATAGGCGACGTGCAATTTTCTGTCGGCTTTCGCTTTTTCCCGCTGCGGCGAACCGTCACGCTACGCCGACGCACGAGTCCGTGTTACATAACGAGTCTTACATCACGCCGCGTCACCACAGCTAAAATAAGCGTTCTATCTACCGGTCACGGCCAAGGCTGCGCGCCTTGTTGTAGACAATTATGCCAACGACGCTCGTAATGAGTATTTAGTGGGTGGACACGCGACCGGCGCCTCACTCACTTTTACTTTCAAACCGGTTCACGACGACCTTTGTCGCTTCAAACTCAACACTATGTCAGACGGCTGAACTATTTATTATTTAATATGACGGACGCTTGGTTGATGGGGTTGCTACATTAGAAGTAAGCTTCCTATGGCCAAGCCAAATACTCAAACTCTACCCAATTTTAGATGTCGTTAAGTCTCGTGGTGTCACACTCACTTTGACTTAAAGTGATAGAGACAGCACGAGAATTAATGGCGTTACAGAATAAATAATAGTAGATATACACGGCGTCTTAAAATAAAATGTATGAGCATTGCTTTAGGTACTATAATAATCGGCGTTGTGTGGAAAATAAAACAACGTATTCATTTCCGTTTTCTAAGCTGTTCGTGCATTTTTTCCTTAGATAAACAGCAATCTATAAGACAATAGAGCCATTATTCGTAATGTTAACATTAAACAATATAATCGCAGAACACGGCATGTTCTACGTGTGGGGACCGACCTTGACTTTGTGTCGACCGGACGACCTTGTAATGCGCAAAATGTTTTCGGTTTAAATCTATCGCAATGAATGTTTTGACTCGATTCAAGGTTTCCATGGGTCTCCTCAGTACCCCATCATATTTGGTATTTTGCTAGATTTGTCCGCAAACAAACGAATGAGACAAACGCAAAAAACGATATGAGTTGACAAAAATATAATCTTGGTTATACAAATAGACATACTTGCGATATATGAATGTCATACACACACATATAATCACACCCACGCATTAAAGAATAGCAATGTAATATAATGTTAAAATAAACCTCATTCTTTTTATACATTCAAAATAAATATCACTCTGTACCTACTAAATCCTATTCCTATTTCTTATCACACAATCCGTCGTGTCGTGGTAACGCAAGATTGGTATCTAATATCTATATATCTATTTCTCTATTTATTTGTAAGAGGCGACTATGGGAAATGCCAGAAAAATCTTATTGCCTCCGATAGATGGCGGTGTTACCATCTTCTTTACATCAGACGTGAAATACTCAGATCGGGGACGAGCAGCAGCGTCCAAGGTGCAGGATGTCTGGTACTGCGAACATCAATCCTTTCTACAACGGGAGAAACTCATGTTCAGCTGTGGACTTTTTACTGGCTGATAAGTTATGATAAGTAGGAAAATTGAGTCGTGTGGCTAATTTGGGTAGTTGAAGAATAAATATCCACTCTATTGTTGAATGAATATTATAAGTTATACAGGTTGTCTCTAAATGAGTCATTTAAACGTACTTCAAAATTATTCAAATACACACACTTTTTTGTATAAGAATGTATTAATCTTCAAAATTATTTTTTTTAAACACGGT